TATTATTATTATTATTATTTTAACAGATTTTCTTTCAATTTCAGTCATTGCATTTCATGTTTGACCTTTGTAAAAGCGTATGCTTTTATTTTACAGTAAAATACCGTTATAACGGACTTCAAGGGACCTGGCAAAACAGTCCGTTATATCCAGAGTTGCTGTATGCCTAGAACACAACTACACGACACTATATTTACTCATGCCACACCCCAGCAGACACACTTGTGGTATAGATTATTATATTGTACATGTAGTAATCCAACTTTACCTAATCAGATACGTGACTATTAATAATCCCGACTACGTACATATCTGCGCTGGATATCACCGGCACGCCACACGCCTTGTAGGCGGAACTGCATGTCCGTTATAGCCGAACAGAACCACATCTAAAAGCGGCCCTGGAGACGAAATTGTTTGTCCATTATAAGCAAAATTCCGTTATATGCGAGTCCGCTATATCCAATGCTTTTTCTGCATGTTCGTAAAGGCGCACGGTCGGGACCAGCGAACCTCGTCAGTTATAGACGATATTCCGTTATAAGCGAGTCCACTATAACGGGATTTTACTGTAATTATTTTGGAATTAATTGGAAATGCTAAGCCGTGATTTTATAGGCTTTATTATATTGATTATGTAGCAATCTCAGCTCCATTCTCCATATTATGAAAGTATCACGCAGAGCTTTACTTCAGAAAAGATGGTTTTTATTCTCTGCTTTCTCGTCTTGCTTTTACTCACAGCACTGACTACAAGCTTCCATTTTTTAATATACGTATATACGAGACTCATTATCTCGCTAACTCAAACAAAATCATGTAATTTTGGTACACCTTACAAATTAACAAAAATATCAATCAGAAAATGTAAAATATAATGTCAGATGACATATAATTCAACAGATTACTTGACATGAATAGTAAAATCGCGGAATGTCGTCCGATGGAACGATCTTTTGGGAATCTGTTCCCACACGACGGACATTCTTTGAGACAACGCTAAACTAAGCGAGACAGTTATCCTGGTCCCGTGGCCTGTACTACGAAGCGGGGTTACTGGCTTATCGGGGTAACTTGTCGGATTTAAGGTACCACAGTTTAAATGGACTTCATATTCGCTCACTTACATTTTGCCCAGACTACCTTAAATCCAACAAGTTACCCCGATAAGCCAGTAACCCCGCTTCGTAGTACAGGCCACAGAGCAGACTTGTTCGGAGGTGCAAGTTACCATGGCAACTCAGTGGGGATTCATTTAATACACGTTGATGGAACGGAACTCTCACTTAAATAAGACAGACTTATCGAAATAAGACAGACTTTCCCTTAATCCTGCTTCATGGAATACCCCCCTGGAGTGCCAGAGCCCTGTCTAGCTTAGCTCTTTCCCTGTTCCACCACAAATGATTTAGCTTATGAGCTGTGTGGTAATTAGCACAAGGAGTTAAATCAGATGTGTTAAATGAAGGTAAACCAAAAACTGTGCAGGGTTCTGGCCCTCAAGGACTGGAGTTTGGCACCCCTGATTTAGCACCACAAAACATAGCTGCCATAACTGACACGAGTGTGTGGTAATTACAGTGATACAATTAAGAAAATAAATGACTAAGGAGAAAAAAAGCAGGCTTAGTAACTTCACAGCATATCGAACTTGGTGTAATACATAAATACGGAAGTTACATTTTCGGTAGGTGTAACATTTTCGGTAGTGACATGCGAGATCGCAAGCGAATTTGAAATTGAGGACGGCGCGTTGGCGCAGTGGTTAGCGCTGCTGACGCACACCAAGAAGATTCTAGCTTCAGTCCCGGCTCCTTTCTGTGTGGAGTTCGCACACTCTCCCTGTTTTTGCCGGGGGCTCCGGTTTCCTCCCACGGTCCATAAGTGTGCAGGATAGGTTGATTGGTGAGTCTAAAATCGACCTGTAGTTGTATGATTGTGTGCGCCCTATGGTGTGTAGGCGACTGCCCGGGGTTGTTTCCCGTCCGTGCCCCTTGTTCCCGTGATAGGCTCCGGTCCCCTTGCGACCCCAGTTGGGATTAAGCGGTTTCAGAAAATGGATGGATGGACGCACCGCCTCATCTTAAATCAGCGGTGTGGCAGTATTTTAGCTTTCCGGTAATCACAAACGAAAACGGCAAGAAAAGCACAGACAAGACAAAAAGTGCATGCAAACATTGTAAAAGACTGATAACATACACAGCATGTCCACCGGCACCGCAGTGAGTTGAGCGAAGATTATTAAAAGGGCAAACCACGCTAAAAAGCTGCACATGCAAGCCTTAGTTTATTTATTTAAAAAAAAAAATTATTTACTTATTTTGATTTGGGATTTTTTTCAAACAGTATTTTATTCAATTTCAGTTGCACTGTTAAGAAGAGGACATGTCTTGCACAGTTTAGAAAGATAAATAAAGGAATATTTTTGAATAAATTTGTCTGCAGCTCATTAGAACATAAGAAATTTACAAACGAGAGGGGGCCATTCGGCCCATCAAGCTCGTTTGGGGAGAACTAAACTAATAGCTCAGAGTTGTTAAAATCTTATCTAGCTCTGATTTAAAGGAACCCAGGGTTTTAGCTTCCGCTACATTAGCAGGAAGACTATTCCATACTCTAACTACACGCTGTGTAAAGAAGTGCTTCCTCAAATTTGTTTTAAAATGTTCTCCTGCTAATTTCCACTGATGGCCACGAGTTCTAGCATTTAAACTAATATTTAAATAGCCATTTGGCTGAACAGCATCCAGACCCGTTAGAATCTTATATACGTGGATCATGTCCCCCCTTAATCGCCTTTGCTCGAGGCTAAACAGATTCAGCTCAGCTAACCTCTCCTCATAAGACATTCCTCTAAGACCAGGAATCATTCTTGTAGCCCTATGTTACACAAGAGCCGTTTGTGGGGGATAACATCAAAGGCCTTCTGGAAATCTAAGTAGATCACATCGTAGGCCTTTTTGTGATCAATTTCACTTGTAGCTTCCTCAAAGAATTCAAAGTAGATTCATTAAACAGGATCTACCTCTCCTAAATCCATGTTGGCTATCCCTCAGAATGTTATTTGCATCCAGGTAATCTACCATTTTCACTTGGATTATAGCTTCTATTGTTTTTCCAGTAATGCTAGTTAAACTGATTGGCCTATAGTTTGCTGGATTACTTCTATCCCCTTTCTTGAATATGGGTGTTATATTAGCATGCTTCCAATCTGAAGGTACCACACCCGCAGATAACGATTTCTGGAATATTAAAGTTAAAGTTTGGCTAATAATATCCCTCATCTTTTTTAAAACTATAGGTAACATGCCATCAGGGCCCTGCGATTTATTTATTTTGAGTTTACCTAGGCTTAGTACCACATCAGCCTCAGTTATACATATATTGGTCAGACGACGCTGTATTCGTACTAATTGGTGGTAAGTTACTCGTGTTCTCTACTGTGAACACCCATAAAAAAATCTGCTAAAAAATCATGAAAAAATCATATCGTGAACTCAGAATCGTAAATCGTATTGAATCTTGAGTTGAGTGTATCGTTACATCCTTAGTATACATAGTACTGGGGTGAAAGATTCGGGGAAAATATCAAATCATTGCGTTGCGTGCGTTGTTCAGGGTTGCCAAATGCTGATTTCAAGCCTTACTCAGAAGATCCGACTGGAGAGTTGGAAAATACGTACGATATGACGCATGTTCAATTGGTTAAGTAAGAGCAAAATGGAGGAGATACTTTTTGTTTTGCTGTATTTTTCGTTCCTCCAACTGTACTTTTTGCAATCCCTTGTTCAAACAGCAGGTAGCTGACCAGCTACATACATGAAATAGAGACAAAAATCTTTTTCTTTTTCCACAGTACACCATTTAATAACAATCTTCTCAACATTCAAAATAATTAAGAGTTTCGCAATGACACGGTACATAAAATTTAATACTTTAAAAATAATTTGTTTTGCACAGTGGAGCAATCCATATCCAGTAAGTATTTTGCATGCGCCACAGAGTCGCAATTAAATCACAATGTGATATCACACACGTCATGAATGCATGGGCATAGAATGGGGAAACAGGAACAGGAGTGGAGGAATCAGGTGAACACGGGGTTTAATTAGGGAAAATACGCTCAGGAACATACAAAGACTTCACAACGTCAATGACCGGACTAACGCAAAACACACAGACACAGATTTAAATATACCAGACTAATTAACACCACAAAAAACAGCTGATGACACGGGGATTCCATACAAGGTAGTGAGGGGGGCATGGCACACAGGACGATCAGCACAAGCTGGGCATGACACACAGCCCAAAGCCATCATGCTCAATCGAAGGTCTGTCACCTGCCTTAGATCAGAGATCAACATCAGCAAGAAATCCCCTCTTCTGAGTTAGATGAACTTTGAGCCCAGACACTTCCTGGTGGAAGTCTCAAAGAGGGAGAAGAGCCTACAGAAGCTTGTGGAAGGCAGGAATGGATTAACTGTGTCAGGGCCAGAGAGGACAGCCAAAAGGGCTGCTTGGCATGGTCTGAGGTGTGGCCTGGTTTCTGATTCCCCCTCTTCCTGCATTTCTGTCCCTCCAGGGCCTCCCAGTACCTCAAACATTGTAATTAAGTAAAAGTATCTTGTAGTGAAAGTAAAAGTACCCATCTAAAAATCTACTCAAGTAAAAGTTAAAAAGTACTTAATTTAAAATTTACTTTTGAGTCAAAGTTACTTGGTTACTTTCAATTACTTGATGTAAAAAAAAAAAATGACAGCGAGTCATAAATCCAACCCAACACTAGTTGTTTTTAACCAACTTTTAGTCCAAATAATAATTAGGACCTTTCACGGGGTATAATGTGCAAACTTTGTTCAGACCACCTAATAAAACATTTTCAAGTACAAGTGGCATAAGCTGTGAATCATATGATCCATTTTTTTCTTTACTGACAAACGCTATCTATATTGCAAATAAAAGAAAGCAGACTTACTAAATTCCCTGGAGTGGAATTCACCCCTCTATGTCAATTTCATCGATTATGAGATGGCATTTGACAGCATTGACAGGCAGACCCTCTGAAAGCTTCTGAGGCATTACGGAGTACCGGAAAAGATCACAAAAATCGTCAAGAAGTCTTATGAAGGGATGACCTGCAGGATAGTTCATGGCCGGCAACTAACCAACGCCTTTGAAGTACAAACCGGAGTGAGGCAGGGCTGTATACTCTCGCCCTTCTTGTTTCTGTTGGCCATAGATTGGGTCATGAAGACATCGACTGATCAGAAAAGGAATGGCATACAGTGGACACTGTGGAAGCAGCTGGACGACCTAGACTTTGCAGATGATCTGGCTCTTCTTTCTCACACTCAACAACAGATGCAGGTAAAGACCAACATGGTTGTGGAAAACTCGGCTTGCCTGGGTCTCCACATTAACAGAAAGAAGAGCAAGGTGTTCAAGATAAACACACCCAATGATACACCCATTAAAGTTGAAGGTGAGGCGCTGGAAGAGGTAGACAGCTTCACCTATCTTGGCAGTATACTGGACAAGCAGGGAGGAACAGATGCAGATGTCAGAACCCGCATTGGCAAAGCAAGGACAGCCTTCCATCAGTTGAAAAACCTTTGGAGGTACAATGGAATCAGCACCGCCATCAAGATCAGGGTCTTCAACACCATCATGAAGCCAATCCTATTGTATGGAGCTGAGACCTGGAGAACCACCGTAACCAACTTGAAGAAAATCCAGGTCTTTATAAATACCTGCCTCAGAATGATACTCAAGATTCGCTGGCCAGAAAAGATCAGCAATGAAGAACTGTGGCTAAGAACTAGGAAACAGCCCATTGAGGAGGACATCCTTCAGAGATGCTGGCGATGGATAGGACATACCCTTCGAAAGCCTGCTTCTAATATCACAAGACAGGCCCTCACCTTTAATCCCCAGACTTGCTCAGAACCGAGATGCCTGGAAAAAGCTGATTGACGGCCTATGCCCCCGCCGGGGCCACAGGCGGTGAAAGACTTACTAAATGACACATACTGTATGAAACTTAAACCAACCAAGCTCCAGGACACTAACGTTTTAAACAGTGTGTGAAATACCCGCCGGGGGGCGGGGGGGTTGGGTTGGGGTGCCGGCGCCATCGCCCTATTGTTGTGCAATACCAATCTTGAGACTCCCTTAAAATTTTGCTTTTGAGGCTTTTAGGGGGTTTCATGGGTTAATCGGGGGAGTCGGACCCCCCTGCATTTCGCACACTGGTTTTAAAGACAACTGAGCGATTCCTTAGTAACACTGTGCTCTTCCTTCCTTTCATAGAAAATATAATTGACAAATTAACTGTATAATATTTACAACCCGTCAAGAGGTATAATGTGCAAACTATGTTCAGACCTCCCCATAAAACATTTTTAAGCACAATTGGCACAAAGTGCGAAATTCTGAATTGTATGGTCCAAGTCAAACACTACAATAAAACAGAAAGAAAATAAAACCAAAATCAAACAAAATATCTAAGACAGTAAAAATGTTGAGCAATTCCTTAACAAACTGTGCTCTTTTTTTCTTTCTATAGCAAACATAAATCATATCAATTGTCTTAATTGACAAATGAGCACACTGATTGCTGATATAAGAAATAAAATAAAGTGCTCTGCCCCACAGAATAAACTGCCCACTGAATACTACAGCATTAGACTGTAAAGCTCTTGCTCAGTTTGAGCAGGAGTTGATTTTCAAAGTTCGTAGCGCTAATCCGTGCTCTCTGCTGTGAACAACAAACCAACAGAGCTTAAAAGACGCTCACAGGCGGCTGAGGCCGGAAGGCCTGTGTTGAGTTTCAGTAACAGTATTTTTATATTTGGAAAAGAGTTCAGAAGATCCATACTTTCTGAGACACAGGCAAGGTAGCCTTCTAACTCCCCTATACCCTCTGACCCTCTGGACTTCATGATGGAGAAGAAATCCTCTTCATCTGATGAATGCTGTCCTTGTCCAACATGCTCCACCTCTGTCTCAGCCATTTGGTCGAGGTGATGTCTGACATAGAGTAGACCTAATTGAATGACAAACAACATCTGGCAATTAAGCAATGAATTATCTGTCATTAGAGAGTACTACAAACAGCTACAAGTTCAGATGACAGACATAGTAGTACTGTATTGTAATGTTATTACTATGTATTTGTTGGTAGAAAACAAATGAACAAGACTGAAATAAACTATTGATCAGTACGATATTAAACAATTAAATCACACCTGCTTCTATTTTATCAGCTTTCTCAGTCCAGCCAGTCTTAAATTTTGGTAGAAGGATTACTGCAGAGATCAGTTCAGGGTCCTCCATCATCACTCCAAAGCGCTTTTGGACACCATGCTGAATTGCTCTGATGACTGGCAGACATATATTGGTGGACGCTTCCTGCCTTCTAAGTTTTGACTGTAATTCAAAGATCACTGGGAGCAGCCACCCTGAGTGTGTGTTGGTCTCTGACTGAAGAATGTTTAAGGCCATTACCACTGGTCTCATCCCTGAGCAGAACTCGGTCAGGAAAGCAATTTCTGCTTGACTCAACCTGTGCAACATAAATAAAACACATAAAACTGGTAAGAGTTTTCTTACAGGAAGGATTTGCATTGTGCAGCCATACACAACAAAACATACTGTTGTATCAGCACTGTTTTCTGTTGATTATGAATCATGACAAATGTTATGTTACAAATGCTAATTGATTAAATACTCAAGGCCATTACCTTGCTCTAGGATGCTGAATGTGTCTTGGTATTCAACATCAAATTCATCATCTGGACAGTCTTGGTCTGTACCTGACTCTGCATCCCCAGACTGGCTCTGCTCACCAAAAATACTGAATGCTTTAACAAAGTTTGAACCACTATCTGTGGTAGTTCCAACCACTTTCCTCCGTATTCTATAGTGGCAGCGGATATCATCCAGGGCACCTGCAAACATTTCAAAGGTGTGTGACCCTCTTAACCTCTTGCATGCCAACACAGCAGGTCTCCTCCTCTCTAAGGTCTTTTCATCAATCCAGTGGCATGTGACACCTATATAGCTTTTTTGGTGTGCCGACCAACAATCTGTGGTAGTTGTGACATAGTTGACATTACTAAGGTGCGATATCATTTTTGTCTTCATTTGACAGGCAGCTTCTGTAATTCTGTTCTTAAGTGTGGGTCTTGAGAGCACTTTGCATTGAGGATTCAGTGCTGCAGCGAAGTCTTTACATGCTGGCTGTTTAACCAAGGAGAAGGGGTGGTGACCTTCGCAAATAAGCCTGATAAGGAGCCTGCCAACTGTCCCTTGAGACACACGGATTGCACCACCCACATAAATACAATCTAATAGTAAATAGAAACAAAGCAGTGTATTCTCTTAAATGAAATGACTCTTGTTGTTGAGTCTAGCATAATAGTGTAGACTATAGTAACTATATGATGATATGATGGCACATTTTGCTTAATGGAGGAAGGTTTTAACCAAACAATAACTATAACGTTTGGGATACACAGGCAAAAGCACATATACTCTACTTACCACCACATGCTTTCTTAGATTTGATGTGGAAGTTTTGAAAGCTGACAGCTCTGTCTGGCAGGGCAGGCACATTTTGCATTGCATGATGAAGTTATTGCCTCGTTTGCGTTTGAACACAAACAGCTGGCTGAGATATGGCAGAGGATTTCCTTCGCTTTCCGATTCATCTCTTCCACGGGAATTCAGTGTCTCTGCTTGGCAATCCTCAACCTCCTCCATGCTCTCTATCTGTTGCTCAGCACCAGCCATCATCCAATGATAGGACACATTAAGACCGCACACGCCCACACAATTTCCTTTCAGTTCAGGCCGATTGTTTTCTCCTGCATTTAATTTTATACTCAGTAACGGGGGGGGTTTCCAATGTAGCAAAGTTAAATACTTGGGTCAAAATGTATTTGAGCAAAAGTAAAATTACCTATTTCAAAAAATTACTAATTACTCACAAAAACTACTCAATTACAGTAACGTGAGTAAATGTAATTTGTTACTTTGCACCTACAATAAAGAATTGTATGTGGCAGAGAACTTAAAATTAGCCAGCATTGTCCAGCAATTTAAGGACTTGGAAGCCCGGATGCCATTAGTGGCATCAGGCTGTACAGTGTGTGGCAAACAGGTTCAGAAAGTCTGCCTCTGATGTGCAGAAGGTTGCTGTGTGGCCCACGTTCCCATGCACATTGACCAGGTATCCCCACAGGCAGAGCATTTGCTGGTGAATGTGGAAGACGTGCAGAGCTGGACCTGCCTTCAGCATGGCAATTACACAAGCTATACCACTGTGATGAGGAAAACACAGTGGTGTGCCAGTAGTGCTACTTGGCCAGGTGTGTCCCCAGCCATGGCCAAGCGGTGTGTGACGTGGAGGTCCGTCGCAATGGCATGAGGGTACAGTAAGTGGGCTCATTTGGACAGAACTCGTGTTTAGTGCAATGGGCAGCACCTGAGTGACAGATGTTTGAGAGGTGCTGGCTGAGCGGCTGTTCACACATCTCACAACTCTTTTCTCTTCTTCTAGCAAGCATTCATGAATTAGAATGGGAAGATAGAGGAGCGGATACAGGCCATAGCAGAGACTATGAGAAAGGCAGAGGCAAATAAACAGCAGGCAGAGGTAGGATAGATCGGCATCACCTTCTAGATAGCTTAAAAGCACCTGTGCTTCGCGTTCTGGTGCACATAGCTGTAGTAAGTGAAAAATGCAGAGATAGATACAATTTGGAAAAACTTGGAGAAATAACTTACATGTGCTATAT